ATAACTCGAGCTCCTGGGTGCCAATGAGACAAAAGTGTTGCTTATGGGAAAAGTCTGGCTCACAGCAGTATGGGGGTTATAGAGCAGCAACGCTGTGGTATGCGAAGGGAAGAGGAGCTGATGGGATGGGCTTCAGGAGGCTGAGGTTCAGATCAAGTCCTGCCTACAGAGCCCCAGGCTGAATGCAGACAGATCATTCCCCCCCAGGCACTGCAGAAGTACTTTGTTTTCTAATTAGATGGCAAGTCCTGCTCTCCAGGTCACACAGCAGCCAGCACCCTGAACACCTGATCTTCCTCCCGTCAGCCCTGTGGCACTGTAAACAATAACAAAAGGGAATTTTGCCCTTAACTTCTCTCAATCTGGATGATCATTCCCCTGTACTTGGCTTTGGTGAGGCTGCACTTTGAGTACTGTGTCCAGTTTTGGGCCCCTCTCTACAAGAAGGACATTGAGGTGCTGGAGAGGGTACAGAGGCAGGCTACCAAGCTAGTAAAGGATTTGGAGCTTGTCTCGTGTGAGGAACGGCTGAGGCATCTGAGGTTGTTTAGCCTGGAGTAGAGAGAGCTGAGGGGAGACCTTATTGCTCTCTACAGCTGTCTGAAAGGGGGTTGTACCGAGGCAGCAGTCGGTCTCTTCTCCCAAGTAACAAGCAATAGAACAAGGGGAAATGGCCTTAAGCTGCACCAGGGGAGGTTCAGGCTGGATATTGGGAAGAATTTCTTTACCGAAAGGGTTGTCAGGCATTGGAACAGGCTGCCCAGGGAGGTGGTGGAGTCACCATCCCTGGAGGCGTTTAAGAGACAGGTAGATGTTGTACTTAGGGACATGGTTTAGTGGTGTTGGTAGAGCTAGGACAAAGGTTGCACTCACTGATCTTGAGGGTCTCTTCCAACCGAAACTGTTCTGTGATTCTACCTGTGAGAAACTCCAGCTTTTCACCCCTATACCACTTGCAGCACAGGGTTGTGTTCAGCCAGAGTCCAGCAGGACTAATTTTGGGAGAAAAGTCTCCACAGCCTTCCGTGTTTGGGCAGAAAGCTTGAAACCTTGGCCTCAAAAGCTCACAAAGCTCTGCCCTGCTGGGACACCTTGCACCCACTCTGCTCAGCGGCCACCCTTTGGGCACTGCCTGCACTGGGAAATAGGCTTTTCCTTCCAAAAGCTTCAAAGTCCTCATTTTTATGGCTCCGGTGCAATGAAAACTTGCCCGTTAGAGGTGCCTTTTGTGGGTCATGGAGTTAGGATTACATGTACTGCTTAATAATTAAAAACAAAGCAACATTATTCATTCTACACAGAGCACCTCACAGTATGGTCCAAGTGCACTGGCACATCTTGGCTAGCCACGATGGTGGTTTGTGCAATAGCCCCTTCTGTGAATATAATACCTCCCAACAAAGGACTGTAACATGCTTTTAGGTAAAGCAGGAGTCTTGTTTGCCCCACTGTAAAGCTAGTGAAAAGGAGAGAGGTGACCTCAGACAGAGAACTACACTGCAGTGACTCAACAGCAGGTAGACCTTCAAATTTTAATTGATTGCCCAGAGATACACAGATAGGCAGAAATACTTCATTTCAAACCTGGACCAGCTTGGTATCTCTCCAAAGGTGGTCATTCCTAGCTGTCCAAGGGCAAGAGCCCCATGATCTTGGGGTGATTTGTCCCCAGAGGACAGCTCTTCCCCTTTTGCCTGAAGCCAGATGTCAGGTCTCTGCCACAGCTCTTCACCAAGGCCATGACCACTCCAGCCGTGCTTGTCGCTCCTGTAAGTCTTGGCCCCTTCCTGAATCCTGTCAGGCTTGAGAGTACGGCCTGTCCTGTTGCCATCTGGACAGAAGCCCTGACCACACCGAATGCACGCAGCGAGGCTGACAGGTACCTGCTGCACCCCGACTGCACGCTAAATATGAGCGCCAACTACATCCAGGAAATATAAAATACTTCCCGTCGTCTGTGTGCATCTTGCAGCAATAAGCTCTAGCTGAATATTTTGTTTGCAAAGGGTTGATTAGTTCCTTTCAATTTCATCTCAGTCTTAACTGTTACAGTACATCTCATCATCCAGCCCCTCTTCACACTCCAGCCATTATTTGCTATTCTTGTTATTTGCACCTGCCTTTTACAAAAAGGACCTTTATTAGCAATACTAGTCCCAAGCCACAGCCCCACTTCTCTTTCATTTCTGCTAGTGCAATACCACCCACTGCAAAGCTCAGCATCTCTATAAATGCCGTGGTTACAAATGAATGCATCCTTCAGCAGCCTTTTCGACCATTTTTTCCACAATACACATTGTAAATGAGGAGTAATATATCTTCAGAATTGCCCAGAAAACGTTATTCTGTTAGCAGCATAAAAACCTCACAGTGTCCGAGTAGGTGCCCTTGCCAAAAACATTTTATTGTGAGCCAGATAATTCAGTTTGAATTGTACAGGGTTTGGTATAATCATTCCAGTAAAGCATTCTTTACAATTCTGTAACAGCAAGTCACATGGCTCAATAAAGTTTATTGCTGCAAATGCTTAGTGATTCATGGCATGGATGAATTCTGTTTCTTTCCTGGATCAAGTAATCAATAACAAAATAATCTCCCTGCAATTACATTGCTCTGCATTAAAGAGGTGTGAAGTAAATAAGTACAAAATCTGATATAAAAACCAATGTGTACGACATCAAAATGAACTGCAGTTTGAAACTGGGTGTCCTGCACCACAGTTTTGCCCACAGCCCGTGGCAGGGCTACGTCCAGCATACTCCTAGCCTTAAATGATTCTTGCTCAGCTGATGACACACATTGTGCAACAAACCCACTTGGGACTTACAGATTTTCATCCCACCACGTCCAAACAGAGTCCTGCTGTGAACACTCTGCACTCACACCGACCCCCCTGGCCACCCCCGTGGGTGCCAGGGACCACCTTTTTCCAAGTGCACTGAAAAAGCAAGACCTATGCTCTCTCAATCAACCTTTTCAGTTCTTCCAGTGCTGCTCCTGCACACAGTAAATCAGTGTTTATAACATCCCCCACTGAGCTGAGTGCAAATTAAATCAGGCTAATTTAGTTTGCACCATCATGTTCAGCTGTGAGTCACAAAAGGAAACAGAGGCATGACAGTTGGGAGGGGGCAGGTGCTTTGTGACGGGAGCTGCTACCGGAGCCTCTTCAGGAGCCCAGCAGGATGGCAGTGCTACGACACCGCTGCTCAAGGGCCCTGGATGTCCCTGCTCCCTCTAACCTGCCCCACTTTGCGGATCTGAACCCTGTGGCTCCAGTGACACCAAACTAGGACACTCACAACAGATGATCTATCATCTGTAATAAACAAGGACAAACACAGCTATCTGTTTATCTGGTTCTAACAGTTTTCCCATAAAAACAGTATGAAAATGACACTGTTTAGAAACAGACTGTTCTAGGGAATAAAGTGCACACTGTTGTTTTTACTGTTTAATGCCTCCTGACTGGGAACACTTACACGCAATGGGGTTTCTCTCCGAATATGCTTATGCTGTTGCACAGGCTTCAACGAAGTGGTAAACACACACCTGAGCTCAGTCTTTTGCTCATGTTTACATTCTTATCCACAGTCCACCTCACTCCTGAATCTCATATGCACTCTAAAAGGTTATTTATGAGATTAAACACCAAAAAAGTCAGAAAAAGCCAGAGGGAAGGCTGCCTATGCAAGCTTAATATAACTCCTCCCTACAAAGGCATTACAGTATGGTCTCTCATTCTATGTTCATTCCCTTGGAGCTCTGTTTCATTCAGCACCCAGACTAGGCTGTGCACTGGAAAAGGGCCACAATTGTGCTGCACACAGGAATTCAAATGAACAAAAAAAAAGAAACCCAAAAATCAAAGCAGCAACCTGTAACAGGCACTTAGCAGGGAAATTTCCATCCCAAATAAAGAAATGGTAAGAAAGTGAAAAAGGATCCTACAGATAGATGCATCAAGTAACTCTAGCACAGAGTTTGATGTGAATAGTCTCACTTACATCCTCTAATGCTTTTCGCAGATACACACACCCAGTTTCCACTATTTAATTAGCTACAACCTACATGTGCCTGCATCGTTTAAAAGTACACACACACTCTCTCTTATCTCGCTTTATAAAAAGTAACTGACAAATATCCAAATGTTTTACCAGACTGTTCCTCTATCATGCTACAGAGAACATCTATTCCCTGCCAATCTTCGGTGACTTAAAGACAATATAGGATCAGTTTACTTCTCACTGTACTGTACTTCTCAATCTGCAGAGAAACTCACTGCCTTTCTAAAATAAACGTACAAATATCACAGCCTCCATCCACAACACAACTGGAGGCCCAGCTCATCGCTTGGTCAAATCAACTTAGGTTCACTTCAATAGGGCCATGCTGACTTATGAAAGCAAAAGAGACGGTTTGAATGCTTGCAAATTGCCTTTCCAAGTCGTGGCTGGGGAAGAGTGTTCATTCAGAGAGTACCCACCCCTTCTTCCCCACAAGCACGCAGACTCCTGCCCTCCACCACAGACCTAGCAGCTGCAGAGCTGGGGTTTCCTCTATTAGGTGACAGGCCACTCAGGGCAGGGGCTGTTTCTCTCTCAGGGTCAAAGACCCCAATCACCTCTGGGCACTACCACAACGTATGCCATCCTATAACAATAACAGGGTAACATCAGCACTAAGTAGGTGACCCCAACAACTCAGCCACTACGCTCCGTGCTGTCACACTGTGCACTCATAGTGATTGGCATCCAGCAGTCTCTTCTCAGAAGGGCTGTCTGAAGTGAAATAGGACTCAAAATAAATACATTAATTAGCAAAACTTCAGTTCACCTAGTCTGTGGTTATCAGGTCAAGTCTGCTTGAGGGGAAGGCTTTTCAAACAAGGTAAATTGCAGGGCTGAGCCCTGAGAGTCCAGTGTGTACAGAAAGTTCATACAAAGAAGCCCTCCTCGTTCTGGTACAGGCCTGGTTGTCCCCTCCTCTCCAGCATTGCTTCAGGAGTACAGTGTCATCATCATCCACTGTAAAATAATGGGGAAAGTGGGTTGAACTCATCCATCCCTGTGAGAGCTCTGTGATACTCACGACTGAACTGGACTATGCAAAAGTGGAGACTTTCTGTCCCCAGAAGAAGCAGAAGCCATAATAAAGCAGAAGACTTAGAAGTCTGAAGCTCATTGTTTCTAACCTGCTCTGTAAGTGATCGGGTAAAGATACCTTTTCTAATGCTACAGAACAAAGCATGCAGTGCCTCTCGCAATGAAAGGGCCTGCATTTGATGGTCAGGGAATGGGCTTTACCTCAGATTCCCGGAGATATATCCCTTTGCCATCTTGTGTTAAGTTGCGGAAGGCCTCTGTGAAAGAAATAAATGAGGAGCATTAACTTGATAGCCAAGAGATCAACAGTAGCCAAGACACTGTGTCTCAGGAAAAACCTCAAAGGCAGAGTTTGTAGGCTATTCACAAGTGCATGTGAGCTTCTGTCGCTGGAAGATCCCCGAGGGCTGTGACACAAGGAGCAGCTGTATAAAGTCAGGCATGTTACTGTCTGTCCATCCAGCTGTGAAACGTTGAAACGCAGGTGGTCCCAACCTCACCCATTACGGTTTTGGGGCATGTACAAAGCGTCTACAGCACGAGCTCACAGACCAAGTATCAGCTGTCTCATCATCACAACTGCAGTCCCACCAGAGGTATATGCCAAGTCTCTCTTCTTCCTGGAAAATGAGCTGCCTCTATCTGTAATTTGCCTACCTCCTCCTACAGAAGGCTAGCACAAACCTGCAGGGAGCTAAATCACTCCGATATATACAGCCTGGGTGCCTGTAGAAAGTGACTGGTGGAAAGGTGAAGAGAACGAGCTTGACTTCCTCTATATCTGTCCCTTGCTTTCAGTTGATTATGTTTGGTCTATTCAGAAACCAAATTCTTCTAATTTTGACTTTGCCACTGCCAGCTGGAACAGCATCAGAACAGCCAGGGCTTAGCTGGGCAGCCCAGCTTGCCCGGCCAGACACGTAACGCCAGCCTCACCTCCCATGATCTCCACTCGAAGCATGAAGCACACAAAGCTCTCGAAGCTGATCTTTAAGTCAGGGTCACCGTATCTGATTGCCATCAAATTACAGACTTCATTGCTGAGCGAAATGCCTTCATAAAAGGGAGGTGTGGAAAAAAAAAAAAGGGGGGAGAACAGAATGAGATGGCAACTCCCAGCTATGGGTGTGAGCATGCACAACTGAATGGTCTTCAGCCCTTCTCCAACAGCTTGGTTTTTCAAACCTCCGCTAAGATAATCAAATATTAGCCAGCCCAAACCAGACCACTATGTGGAGACATCTCCTCCAAACTTAAAAGGGTTCAGATGTGATCCCCTATACTCACAGTCCTGTCAGAGTGGGAATACAATACAGATGGGCATCCTTTGCTCATGGGGTATGAGGGTAGTAACAGCAGCTGTGTTTAAGAGCAATAGTCCACCAGAGGGTAGGAAAGGAAATGAAAAAGAAAATCCAGAGGAAGCTCATACAGAAATCATCAGTCTCAATGTCAAGCAGTGTTTGCAAGGAATAAACGTATTTTCTATTCATGGCCTGGGATTTTAGTTTGCTTTAGCTGAGGTCTGCTGGGTTTCTCACCATGCTTTCACTGACTCAGATGAACTGGGCGAACCATGTGCCACAAAGAGGAGTGGTATGTAAGCTGTAAACATGCAAAAGAAGCTACAAGACTAAGCACCAGCCCCAACTCAAAGCCCAGTAACAGCCACAGAGTTTGGTCCAGTATTTGGACCCATATGTATCATCTTCCACTTCTAGATCAAGCTTCAGACATTATATTACTGAAATCTGGCACAAGTCCCACACTTCCAGGTTCAGTCCCTGAACTGTCATCTTCAGCAGAGTTAGCAATTTAATATGAGCTAGATCTGGCCTCCTGCACGTATCCGCACAACTCCACAGTCTTTTAAAATTAAATTAGCAACGAACAGGAAGGGATTTAAAAACTGAGTCTAAAATAGACAGACACTTCTGCTTCTGAGAACTATCAGTATGAGACCACTCTGGGGCCAAGATTAAGCAACCCATCCCACAGCAAAATAATTTTCAAATATGTTTACCCAGCTAAAGAAATAAGCAGAGATGGCTAAGATCATGCAACCTATGATGTTTTGCACTCCTCCTGGGCTTTACCTACAATTCTCAGTATGTTTCCCAGCCCTGGGCTTTTTCCAGCCTTTATGAGGAAGAAGATGAGACCTGCCAAGATGTGCTGTGGGCTCACCTGTCTCCTGTACAGCTGTATGCAGCTCCACAAGGTCAAGCTTTCCTGATCTGCTAATGTCTCTCTTCTGGAAAACTTCCTGGGGTGTGGAAAAAAAGATTTTTTTAAAACAAAATGAACTCCTCAAAAAACAACAGATGACACCAAAGGGATTGTGAGCAGGGAGATACTGCACAGAAATTATTGTTATACCAAATAGAAAAGCAGCCTTTTCCACAGGACTCTGAATTCCTGGATACTCAGTGTGCCAGAGGCGTTCAGCTTCATTGGTGAATTAAGGTCAGAACATCTCAATTAAACATCAGAGAGCACCCATTACTTAACCCAAACCCCCTCAAAAACTCATAGCCACTCTAACATTCACACAATTATAATATGAGGATAATTTCTTATCCTACAAGCTTGTCTATAGGTTTGATCCTCCTCCCACTGAAATCAATGGAAACCTGGCTGCTGATTTCAGAGGTGGCAGGAATCAACCCTTTCCCAAATTAATTCCATTCTGTCACAGCCAAACTGTTATTATGGACAGTGAGAAGTTCAATAAGCAGAGCCATATCCTGGTGGTAAAGAAATCACAGTAACACCCAGTCTGCCCTAAGAAATAATGCTCCAGTGAAGTATTATATGAGTCAGAGGTATCACTCATGCCAAGGATACATCCAGGAGCGCCAAGATACCCTGGCAGGCATCCAGACTGAAACTCAGGCGAAAACTCTGGAAATCTGGAGAAGGAAAAAAATTAAAGAAAAAAGGAAAAAAAAAGATTGTTTTGAGGAGTCATTGAACATCTCTCAGAAAAATGGACTCACAAGATTCCCCCTCACTTGAGAGGGCTCAGGCCCCAAAGCCTTTGTGAAACTTTACACCCACTTGAGAAGACTTATCATTTATGATGATAAAAATATGAGGCAACAGGATGGATTCTACTAGTCTCAGAAAATCCAATATGAACTCCCTGCAGGCATGTAATACGGAATGAAATATGGTGCACTATCTCCAGCTATTAGAGAAAATGGAAGGAAAAGGACATCCAAAGCTGTAATCCCAAATAGAATTTACTGCACGACCTTGAGCAAAGTCACTTGACCTGAAGAGCTTTGGGGAGCAGCACTGCACGTTAATTGAAACCCTTGTGCTAAACATCTGTCTCTCTCTTTCACAGACACACTGCCAGCTCTGTTGATATAATTAAAAGTATAGGCATCACTGAAAACATGTTGCTGCAAAGCTTAGTGTTCCTGGTTCATACATAAGTTACATGAAGAGTAACAGAAATGGACTCTAATCTAACTGCAAATCATGATTATAGATTGTCTGCAGACTTCCACTGATCAAGGGACAGAACCACAACTCACCAGCCTTCTCTGCAGAAAGTGAAGATGTTTTAATCTTGTAATAGCCCTGTTTAGTGAATATGAATCGAGTACTGTAAAGTTTTAAATTAATGTCTTAAATTGATCACTTCTGAAAAATAAAGACTCTCTGTTCAACATAGTCTTATCACAGATAAGGCAGTGCCTGGTGGGTCACTTTGCAAAGACAGGAGAGCTATCCCTGCCCACCTTTGCAGAAAAGGGAGCAACGTCAAATTCAGCTTTAGTGGAAAAGGCATCACATCAGTCTTTTGCTTATCTTCTTCATCACCTATAATGGCTGGATGGTGTATTTTCTGCGTTGCACATTGGTTATTACCAGTGAAGAAACTGGGAAGAAAAACTGGATTAATCTCTGTACCTTCATTGTTGTAGTTCAGAGAAAACAGCCACTGCAATCCCTCGCTGCTGTCCAGATAGCGTTGTTTATAACTATGGACCAAATGATGAACTTGTGGAGTGACCTGGGCTGCCACAGGCAGAGTGGATGTCACAGGCCTCACAAGAGAGACAACCTGAGGGCTCACCTAGTTCTCACAAGCATAAGTTACACAGGCTACCTGCACCTTCATCCTGACTCCCAAACCCAAACAGACCAAGGAACAGCCCTATGCATACATGGCAGGGAAGAATAAATAGGAATAGCAGGCATGAACCAGGCACATCAAGGTAAAGACAAGATCCCCTTCCACCGCATAACTGCCTACAGACCAGCATAACTTTCTATACCTTCTAGCGGTGATGCTGCAGACTGTGACTGTCACAGGGTGAAATGAGATACAGTTTCAGAGCCAAGGCTGAGGTCAGCTGCATTTGGAGGTCAAATTCAGAGTCTGCGTCCACACACAGTATCTATGATTGCTCTTACCCCTCATTCTTCCTGTTGTTGAAATTCAAACTAGATTAGCTTAACTTTTAAAATTTCTACCATGTTGATTCACACCCCAGCAAATCCTTTCTCTCTGGAAATCTAACATGGCATCAGCTCAGTCAGATTCAAGCCAGTTTCTCTTCCCAGAATTGAAGAAACAGATAGAGGAGCTGAGGATTTTCTCTAAGAGGGTTTATTTTACAGAAACATTATTTCTCAGCACTTACTTCTCCAAGATATATTATTCAGGATCCTCTGGAGCTGAACAGCATTTATTTCAGGATTCTGTGATATGGAAGAGAATTTTTATATTTTTTTAAAGTATTAAATCACTTTTCTCCCTCTTTGTTTTCCCAGCATGTCCCATCTTCATTCTTTGCTTTTCTGGCCTCACTCCAGCCACTGTGAAAATCAATAGGAATGACTCCCTTTGAATATGACAAGAGTCTCAGCCTGCAAGATCTGCAGTCTGCTCTGGGCTCAGTTCTCAGGGCTACACTAAGATCAATGCAGTAATGCAGATTTACACTGACTGAGGATCCAGACTGCTAACTTTTCAGCCCTGGTGCCATCTGTCCCATCAAGCACATTGTCAAGAGACCTGCTTCAAATATTTTCCTGTTATCATTTACAAGCAAAAAAAGATCAAAACTTTGGAATACTTCCTCTCCAAACTTTTCAAAGGAGACACTTCCGCTCCTCCACGTTATACCAAAGTTTACAAGTTTTTTAAAAACTGTGACCTTTTTTTGGAGGATTTTTTTAAATGTCACTCTTCAAAAATAAAAGCCTGTTTTCAGATCATTCGTGCCATGGCACCGCATTAAGAAATGGCAGTACTGCTCGCTTCTGTGTGTACTTGGACCTCCTGAAACCAAAGGACCAGCACCTTGCAATATGTGGCAATTTCTAGCACATCTGAAAGCCACACTGTTCTCAAAATCAAAATCTTGACCAAGTGGCAAAAAGTAAAAGCATTGCTTGTTTTTAGTAACTGCTTCCATCAAAACATCACTGGTATCAGAAGTGCAAATGTGGTTTTGTGAAATTGTGTTTGCCAAATACAGGCTATGCTGCTAAATAAACACAGCCAGCTATTCTGAAAGGTGAAACACTTGCATCCTTCGCCATAGTCAGTGGGATCCCTGAAGGCCAACTCCGTCCCAAATCAGGCCAGAGAGATCATTAAAAAGAATCTTTCACAACAAGGATCATATTTCACTAGGAACATTATTGAAAAAAGGAGGTGATGGGACACCTGATACCTACTTCACCTCTCAAAGCATGTTAGCCGCCATCAAACTGTGATGAAGTATGTAGGAGACAAGTGTCAATATTTCAGGGGGTGTTCTCTAACAGGCAACTTTCCCCAATGAGTGTAACACCCTAAAAGGTGGGATGGATCCACACAGCCCACCACTTTGTCCCAAATACAGGCAATAGGAATTAATGTTTAGGGAGAGCACGTGAGCCTGGTCAGCTTCTGTAGTCCATTCTCCTATTTCCCTGGCACCCACACCTGTTGGAAAAGGGATCTTAGAGGGTACACCCCTGCCTAATCCTTTGGTATCTGTTTATGGACCTGCTGCCCATCAATTTGCTAATACCTTTTGAGCCTGTCACATCCACAATGTTCTGGGGCATTAAGTTCCAGGCATTCACACCCTCTTGTGTAGAGAAGTATGGCTGTCTCAGTGCTAACATATCGCTAAGCTTCACAGTCAAATATGCTGCGTGGAATCAGCACTGTACACACAGCCCAACCTCCTGTGGCCGCTCTCTGTTCCCCACACTTCCATGTCCAGACCTCCCTTGAACATCCACATGCTTTTACTTTCACAAACCTACATAATGGCTCTGGAGGAGTTTACTCTGGCAGCTCGTGCACACACTTACCTGTTCAAAATGCTTTGTGAAGAAATCCTCCCAAATCTTGCCTTCATACCTATCAACAATTTCCTTTAACATATTAAAAAAAAAAAAAAAATTATTACCTTGAGGAAGAAAAATCTTGCCAACCAAGACAGAGTTACTAAAAATGCTTTCCTAGAACTGCACTCTTGTCCCCTGCCCTTCCACCTTCTCCCCACCACTGCAATCAATGCTACATCACTAACGCAGTCCACTGCTAAGGTAGCTCCACACCTCACAGAAATGCTCAGCGGGGAGAAACATTCCCCCACCATCAAGCTGTGCAACAGCAAAGGGTGGATGTTCGCAAAAGAGGAACTAACAAAGGCGTCTAAAAATCTGCCCATTCCCCACATTTGACTGCATCTGTCCACATGGTGCAAGGGACTCTGCCTGTAAACCCAAGCTGCCCTTTCAAAACCACTGCAATGCAAACACTCACATTCTCACTCAGCCTCTCCATAGGGCAGAGCAACAGGAAAACCCCAACATTCAAAGCTGAAGACCGAACCACAGACCTCACACTCCCCTCACACTCACTCACCTTAGAGAGGGTGAAACTGGTGTTCCCGCCCATTTCCCTGGAGATGCAAAAAAGCAGACACATTAAGGAGATACCCCAGAGTTATGTATTTGTCTCATCACAGGTGGCATCTCCCATCCCCAGATGGGGCCGAAACCCACTGTTGCAGGATACGTTTTTTTCCCTGGTGTTACAGCTGCAGTAAGGGAAGCCCTCACGTCCATATGGCTCCCCAGGGGCTGCTGGCATTTGAAGCCTCCAAAGCACCACTTCTGCACAAGCAACCACCCTAGTAATGCCAACACGTTCTCCTGTCAAGTTCATGGTGCATTAAAAACTTGTCCTTCTTCAGAGTCTCAAGCATGAGCAGACTGCAAGAATCCCTTGTGTGGGCCTAGCACAACACTACTTGAAAGGATAAGGCCAAAAGCAGTGCTTCAGCCACTGCGAATCCTAACGTGGGAGAAACTCACAGCCAGCCTCTCCAAAAGAGCCTGTGCTGCTTTTTGCAGAGTAAAGTCTTTATGTTGCCCCCATTAGACTAGAGAGAGCAGACCATCCCAGACCACAAGGTGCTCACAGAGGGGCAGCGGCATCTCACCGAAGAACATGCTTCCTGGAAAAGACCCGCAAGATGAATTCTGACTCCTGCTGAGGCTCCAGGGTGGATGGGACAATCACATAGACACCAGGCTCCAGGTGGAAGTCATGAGTCACTTCCCGCTCATCAAGGAAAAGCTGGTGCTTGTTCACAGGCTGATGTCGGGTGAAGAAAGCTGGGGGCAGCTTTCTGTTGCTTTTCTGGTACTATTAAGGGAAGAAACAGAAAAGAAATGTGTTAAGCACCAGCTGAACAGACAAAAGGCATACGGAGAACTCACAGGCATGGAATAGACCGTCTTCCTTCACACTTCAGATTTTTTTTACAGCACAAGCAGATAATGGGGCCTGAATGACTCAGTCTCCTTCCAGGACACAGTGGTTCTCGTGGTGCACCGCCCCTGCCCAATACTAATAGGACAAAGAAGAGGGCTTCCTGCAACCTTGTCAACAATATCATAGTACTTGCAAGAAACAGCAGCAAGGACTGGGGAGGAGAAATGGCTCCTGTCAAAGTGGCTACTGCAAAAGTCGTTTCAATACTGGCAGAAATGACTGCAGGCAGAAATTGCTCTAGAGACTGCTCTTCACTAGCCAGAACACCTCTCCTATCCCACAGGTACCATACAATTTGTCCCCAGCTTGTCATTTGTACTAGGGATCTGGTAGCAGAGGATTTTTCAGAGCACCTGTGATCTGAGCATACTGCAGAAGCAACCTAATCCCTAGCCCTGACTCCATACATGTGTCCTTGATCTGCCTGTCACTCTCAGCTCTTACAGATGTTTTGCTCTGCAGGCACTTTTCTGCAATAGGAGGATGGATAAAGTGTTGATCCAGGCAACGCTGAACTCATTTTTAATGCCACTGAATGCCCAGTACACAAGCCAAATAAATAATCCTGCTAGCTAAAACCACTGTCACCTTCTGATCTTGGCTGTTCCTCAAAACATTTAGCCATTTTACTCTGCAGCCTCATAGTGGAAATGCTATTCCTCTTCCTTTGCCAGTATTTTTCTTACTAATAGAGCAATCTTTCTTCTGAAGGGTTCAGGGTTACTCCTCCTCATGCCCCTTATGTTAAATTCAGAGTTTTTATATTCCAGTCAATACTTTGTTGACTGTAGTTCCAATACCTCAGATGCTCTTGGCTTGCCATCTCTCTGTATTGATCCTGGCAACTGCTACAAACCTGAAATTAAAGTCCTTGCTGCCACCATACCCCTTCGGGTGCAGCACAGCAGCGTGCTAGGGCCACACTCAGACCCTCTCTGCCAGGAAGTTTAACTCACTTGTAACCCTGGCAGTGCCCAAAATATTTAAGTCAGGAAGGAGTGGCATCTTACCTCACTGTCACCATGCTGGAAATACAGTAACTGGGAACACAATTACGCTGTCCTGACCATACACCCAAACTGGTTCTTTGCCAGCCCAGATTCAAAAGGACTCTCATTTAAGAAGTGTTCTGAGTAGTAACAGAGTGGAAGATATGCCCTTTCAAGATAAAAGGACCTCAACCTGTCCCTGTTTTAAATAGACTTCTGAGGTCAGGGCCAAAATTGGGACCTACCTCAGGGTTTAACTTTCAGGGCCCTTCCCCAGGTCCCAGAGGCTCCTGGCTAAAGAAAATGCCAGAAACACAGCTGGCCTGAAGAAGTTGAAAACACCTGTAGCATCAGCTCCAGAGCATCCCCAGCCAGGAAAGAACATGAGCTCCCCAGGAGATGCCTAACTTACACGGGACATAGGCTCTGTTCCCACCTCATCCCAAGACTGGGAGGCAGCACAAAGGCAGCTCTGGCTCCCCCGAGAGCCGCAGTGAGTTCAGTTTAGACACAGCCAAGAACTGGGGCACTGTCCCACAGCTGCAGGAGGGACAAAGTGCCGATTGGGTAAACACTGATGCCACTTCTAATACTTTTGAAGACCCAGTGCAGAAGCTGAACAACTAATGCCCCCTTTTAAGGCCACTGAGCACTCCCGATATGGCTGTTTTTCAGAAAAGTCAGCAGATAACTCTGCATTAATAGTGACTTACTGTGGTGCCTCACTGAACCCAAGTACACATCTGGCAGCCAAGGAAAAATGGCAAATACAAGATGTTCAATGTTGTCATAACAGCTGCACCAGCCCAGGTCCCCCAGCAAACAGCCAGCAGTGGTGACAAGGAACTCACCTGTAGGTCCACCTGCAGGAAGAAAAGAAACAGAGCATCTGTCAGACAGGGACCTCTGGTTCTCACACAACATAGCCATATCATTGCTGGGAAGCAGCTATGTATGTCCAGCTGGGGTCCTTGCCTTCAGAAACCTCAGCCCCTCCACTACAGTCGCCTCTCCTTAACTGTGCAAACTCACAGCAACAACAAGAGCTGTGGCTCTGTTCAAGGGAGGAGAGTGGCTCTGCAAGGCACTCAGGTAAGCAGAGAATAGAGGGAAGGAAACTCTCATTCCTAGTCATGTCCACTTACCGCTGGACACACAAGGAACTAGCAGTATTCACACATGGGCAGCTGCCACGCCATGCTAGGAACACTTCTCAAGCACAATTTCATCATGGTTGGACATAACCTGAGGTCAGCAGTCTCCCTGCCCCAAAGTAAGGGGACTCCTGGCACCCTCTCCCAGCTCTTGTGCATACTCTCAGAGAGGTCAAATTAAATCCCAGTCTGCTCTGAAACAAGAGGCATTTCTCCTGCTTTGCAGGCTAACACACAGCATGCCAGAGAGGCAGCAAGCAGGGGGCACAGAGCCTGAGGGAGCCTAGCCCTGATGTGCAAGGAGACTGGGCACAGGCAAGGAGAAAAGAGCACAGATCACCCTGCACACAACAAAACTCTTGGTCTGCAAAGCTCTACAATTTACAGGGGCTGGAAGTTTTCCTGTTATTTGGTGAAAGCAAAGGCAAAGAAATTCTTCACACCTTGTAGAGTGAAAATCCAATGAAGAGGTGAGGAGTTCGGTTCCGGTGTTTGCTGCTGTGTTTCTGCATCAGGGATATAACCACATTGCAGGAACCCAGGCTTTTCTTACTGTCTTCAACTGGTAAAACATTCAGCCAGTACTGAGGGTTCATCCAAAAGGCACCTAAGCAAAAAAAAGAAAAACATTTTTATGTAATTTTTCCATCACAAAATTGGTTGCCTGCTTCCCACATGACACTCATCAAACTGAATAGGTCACAGGTTGTCTGGACCTCCAGACCCCTCAAGGATTTGATCTTAGGGTGCAGTTTACAAGTGCAACCACTACGTAAGACAGGAGGAAGGCCCAGGAACAAGGAATTACTTTTCCGCTCACCTGCAACTAAGACCTCATTTTGTTTATAAATGTATCACTATTCCCCTGTCACCTCTGGTGTATGGACTAGCTGACTTCAATTGATCCTAGGAACCTGCAGCTCATTTCATGCCATAACCAGCCCACTATGTTTGCAAGTGATGCAGCTTCTGTGATAGCAGAAGCTAGTCAAAGTCCTTCAGCTGCTTATTTCTGATGTTCGTGTGGAAGGTTAAGCAGGAAGAGCACGTTTCTGTTGTCAATTTTTTGTTAACCGGTATGAGGTGCTGGTAACTGAGTCGGTGAGCAATGTTACACCAGTCATCCAAAAGAGCACTCCTTACCATTACAGAATCCCAGACTTCCTCCTGATGTACTTCCTTTAACCCATCTCCCACTCTTCAGGGAGTACATCCACTTCTTCCCATCTTCCTGGCTCATCAGGTCTGGAGTTAATTTACAGATCATCAGATCTACAAAATGAATCTTAAAATCTCGCAGAGACATCCTGGGAAAAGAGTGCCAAGAGACATCTTGTCAGCAGTTTAGTTTAGTCCATATGGCTTATAAAAAGAAAATGGAACAGAGCAGGGAACTTCGAAGCTGCACCATTCTGTGTTACATGTGGTAATGCTCATATTTTATTAGGCAGTAAAGAAGAGAGCGTGTGCTCCAACAGCAGCATCTAGGAGTTGCAAATGCACGACTAAAATTTCAGCAAAGGATAGCAGCACAGAGATTAAATAGTATTGCCACCAAAGGGACCGCAGTGAAATGACACAGGCGACAACACTGCCACCTCGTGGCAGAAGCTGTGGAGAAACCACGAACAAATAAGGCAAGCAAGAGCTTCCCAAAGCTATCCTAAAAATAAAAGGCAGGACAAAAGCTCCTGAAAACTGCCCATGTCTCTAGCATCCCTCCGAGTCCTGGTAGCATACTGCTTCTCCCTCACTCCTGCCATTGATGAACTGTGCATCTCTTCCGTGTCAGCAGAGCTGCTGCTTCTCACATTATTGAGTGGAGGAGGAGAGTAAGAAAGCAAGCATGGGCTGTTATAAAGCAGATCACATATGGCCTCGACTTAAGTGGCAATGAGCTGCTTCATCTTCAGACACAGACCCAGAGCTACTGGCAGAGAGAGGAGAAGTGAGACTGTGCCATTACCAGAATTCTCCATCCTCCTTCTTTTTCCTCAGCAAAATCTTCTCCTTCGGGCTTAGCAGCTCCCATTTGTAAGAGCTGAGGGCAAAAACATGAGGTAACTAACCAAATGTGGCCTCAAACTGAAGGCAGAGTACATAGCTTTCCTCTATAAAAAGAGGACAAATCCCTGTCCCCACACATCTCCACATTTATCCCCCAGTAAACACAGACCCCCTATGCCTTCAGCCATGGGAGACTCTCCACAAGCACTCTGGGTCCCATGAAACGTAGCTAACCGGCTCCCATTTTCTTCATCAGAAGCCAGAAATGCTCCATTTCCATCAGCTAGTCCATTCACTTGCACACGCAGCTTCCAAGTACTTAAAAAATAAAAATCTAGACCTGTTTTGTTGGTTAATTTTCTGTCAAAGGAGACATAACAGGAAGAGTGTTTGGCGTAATGAATGAATGACTAGGACAGCACAAGAGGCAGCTGGGAGTCGTTTAAAAGGCAGGCCTACAGTATGTTGCTCATTATGCTATTCAACAGGAACAGCTGGTATGTTGTCATTATGTGACAGACACGCATCAGAGAAGTTACTGCTCTGCAGACAAGGTGAAAGTCACTCACATTCCCAACACTTCCCTATGTTCTTCCCTCCTCCCTACCCCCGAGCCTCAGCAAACAGGGTCTGTGCAGGGAATGAAGTGAAGCTCGGAAGGAAGGAACATGCTCCGCTTCAAAGAGGAACAGAACACAAGTCTACAGTTGCCTGTGGACTAGAATGCAAACGACTGTCTTTCATGGATCCCAATCAAAAAAATCAGGTAGATGCAAAGATAGAGCCCATTTGCCTCACTAGTTGCTTCCTCTGATCTCATACCAAATCGTATTCTCCCAACCAGCCAGGACAGAGGACTCCTTTGCAGCCACCCAACTCCAACATTTTGCAGCCTGTGGAGGACTTTGGACGGTCCCTCCTGTGATAAAGGGCTGCGTGCCCTGAAACATGCTGTTTGTTTAGAGCCTCCTGCGCAGCTATCTGTCACTTTGCATGCCATCCAGATCACAGTAATGTGGTCAGCGTCTCATGTTCATATTATCTTTCCTCTGGCATTCAGTGAACGGAAAAGTAAAACTGAGCTTGTTGAAGCAGCATGTGTGAAGTGAGCCCAGCTACGTGAGCACTATCTGATGGAGAAATACAAATCTATTGAGTCATTGCTTTGACACCAGAAGGTCTGTGCAAGCAACTGTTACTTATCTTAATGCTGCTCTCAGCACTAATTCATGCCTGAAGATGGCAGCATCTTTCCTCCGAGAAAACTTTCCTCCCACTCAGCATCAGACCTTCCCCTCTTTAAACTCACCTGTCACTCCAGTCTCCTTTCCATTCAATTTTTCCCCATGGATTTCTCAGTCTCACCAGGTTTTCTGGTCCATATTGACTGGTCACCTGCAGAAAACAGTAACATTGTGCTTACCAAGGTCTCAGCAGTTCGCATCTGGTTTATATCCCTATGTCAGATATTAACAAAGATTTTGTTTGTTCTCATAGATGCCAGCAAGTGTGATGACAAAAATCTATGAACGTGCAACTCAATGCCAGCACAAAGATATTAAGATGCTTTATCTTACCTTATATAACTGAAACCAGAGACCTCACAGATTCCTAATTTAGAGGCTTGACGACCGTAAATTCCTCTTCCTTTCCAACATCGTCTCATTCTGTGCTTACGTTGGGGGCAGGACTGTACTACTACTGTACTTACCTAGTGAAAGCTAAGTCCTACCCCACTGCAACGGCACAGCACTGTGCAGCCCATGGGGTGACCACACAGATCAGTGCCTCCTGAACTCAGATGCCATGGTGGGAGAAGAGGGAGCCAGGCTGACTACGGGCTTTGCTGGCAGCGTAGAGCAGAACAGATGACTTCACATCAGCTCTACATGCTTGGTCAGTCCCTTACTCCTGCCTGGCTCTTCATCCCATCAGAGGAGCTAGAGTGACATACATGTTGCTGATCCTAAGTCGCACACCTAAACCCCTCCTGCTCTGTGTGGGAGACACAGGCATGCATCATCCAGCTCATAGCATCTCTTCCAGCCTTCCTTGTATCTCTTCCGGCCTTCCTTGTATCTCCTGCTAGAGGTACTGAATGTGCTTTCACCCACATCTATATCACGTGTCCAAAGCCCCACAAAGTCCTTTGCCATCCTTGTCAACCTCCTTTTGAGGCTGGACAAGATAGTCATCTGTCAATCCAAGAGGAGAAAGCTCAAGCTTTCTCCCACTCTTTGGGACCTATTATTTTACTGTCCCTTACTCTAGACAAATATCTCTAGGGAAGTCCAAACGATACTTCTGCAGATCAGTGGGGCCCACCTGGTATTGTCTGCACAGGAGCCCAGTTCGGTTCCCCCACTTTAGCCTTGACTCATATTTTTCATGTTTTGGCCCTTATATTCAATTACCTTTACTTCTCTACGGCCTCTCCTTTGACTTCAAAGGAAGTGAGTGGCTTTCAGCACATCCTCCCAACATCCCCAAATGCCAGTCCTTTCGTCCTTAGGAGCTAAGATGCATTTGTAGGTGATGTTCTCAGCAGAGCCCTGTGAATCATTCCCACCCTTAGAGATATGCTGATCTATAACCAATGTCCTTTACATCAAGGTCACGATACTAAAACAGACACATTTGAATGTGAATCTCTAAAGCACACGGTCTTTTTTAGCCTTAGACCAAGAGAAGAGTATTGGAGGAAGAGATACCGTAGTTGCCCTGATTAAGGGTCAAACCCATGACTGCAATAAAAGCTGCAGTAACTGAAACAAACCTTGACCCAGGACAGTAGGGCTAGTCTTACCTTTCTAATACCAGTTACTGTGTAAGCATGGCCAGCAACGAGCCCATTCTTCAGGACCTTTGTTGCCTGTATACAAGGAAGAGAAACAGAAGGAAAAGAAACCTTTTGTTCTATCCCTACTTAGACAGCAGTCTCATACCAACACCAGAGACCTGTACCTGTGTAAGCAATGACTCTCAAAGCAAATACAGAATGGTTGGAACTGAAAAAAAAAAAAAAAAAAGTCTAAGCTCCTAACAGACATATTTTGCAGTATGTTTGGAATTGAAAGGTTGATTGAGACGGTCCCCGCCTAAAATGTGGCTCTTTAGATAGAGACCATCTCACTTTTTAAAAGTCCAAGAGGTCAGGTTTGGATTTTGAGAACAGTAGGGTTTCCCAACAGCCAAAGTGTTAGCCTTGGAAGTCACAATTTGCATTCATGTTCTGAACTACACACTTCTCTATCTTAGCTATAAGCTTATTCCATGTATCTCTGTGCTTCAGTGCACCATCTGTAAAAATGGAAAATTTGTTTAACAAAAATGGGAAAATGCAGTAGGTCCTTATTTAATAGAGGTTCTTTGATAGATAAAGCAGTTCCTAAATGTAACAACAGGGGACAGAGAGCAGTAGGGAATCAATCTATGCGTAAACTTTAAGAATGTGATTTCTACAGAAAGTCATGTGTAGCAGCTTTGATACTTTTTGAGTCACAACAACTAGCTGAGCAGAGGGAAACAGGTCTGGAAAGTCTTAACTGTGAAGCCATTTGATGTCACCCCAAATCTCACCCCTAAATGTGTCTGACAGCCCATTAGAGATCTACTGTAGGTTGCTCTTGTCAGGATATCCCACAGATCAGGAGGAGCTGCTGCAAGATCGATCCTTATATTAACACCACCTGTAAAATCCACCAAGGCTTCTGAAACTTGCCCAATCTGCAGATCTTCATAGGAGCCGTAGAGTCTAGCAAAAAAGACATCAATATATTCTTGGGGTTATGGTCACAGTGATAGGTTGAGGAAGGCTGTACCTCATGTTTATTTTAGGGGAATCTTTCTCATTTAGGAAGAGAGGAATCTAGCAAATTACCTCCAAGATTGGCCGTAGTCTGAAAGAGACTCTTCACTCACTATCATCCCAGTGTGAGAACAGTAGTGAGAACACGCCCATCACAACTTCTTTGGTAACTCTGCCTTAGCAAATGTCTGAATATATCACCAGACACTGATACAGTGCCTTGAGAGTTCAGTCTCCAATTTGATTTCCTTCACCACCACAGAGCAACTTTCTCCACTCTTTCTGTTCTAATGATAACTCCAAATGGAAAGCACTGAACTTCTCTCCTTTGCTGTGATCTTTTTCTCACTGTTAAATAGGATTTTTTCTTGCTCTGCAGAGATTATTTCAGCACAAGATTAACAAACTCCATCAGTTATGCCTTGTTGCTTTCTTCTTAGTGCTGATAAATCACTCTAGACAAAACAGTCCGGAGAGAAGGCAGTATTCCTACAGTGCCATGTGACTTGTTGAATGCCTCAGCTTTGGGGGACCCCACAGCAGGAACTACTGTCAAAACCAAGGTACAATTTTTCAGCAGACACCCAAAATGAAACTCAGTGGAGGTTTCTCAATTTGATAATACATCAAAGGAGGCATCAGAAATCATTCACCTTTGAAAATCCCTATCTGTGGCCTTCTGCTCCTCTGCAGTATTTACAAGGAAGGCATGATCCTAGCCAATACATTCCAAACAATGACAACACTCAGAGGACAACTCCCCAAGATAGGTCTGTTTTCACAGCTACTCCTAAACCTTTGGATTTAAACTCAAGGGCCTGGATTGATAACAGCTACTGCAGGGGCAGCTTTTGCTGTGTAATAACAGAAAGATGAGAACCATTTACTACACTCCAAGTGTGGCAAGGACTAGGAGATGCATCTATAAACAAGAACAAACTGCGTAGGCACCAACCAACACATTTTAGAGAGACTATTTACATAACTTGGAATGAGTCACTTACTTAGCATATGCCTTCTCCAGAAGGGCTCCCCAGAATACATTCTTATAGACTGAGGAAACAAAGACCAGCTGCCCCGCCTCATTCACCGGCAAGCGATCATCAACCACCACGTCAACCCATTCACCGAAGTGCCAGAACTGTCAGGGGAAAGGAATAAGCTAATGTTTCCCTTGGAAGGGAGACAACCCCTTGAAACAACAAGAAAGGCAAGACAGCTTAGCTGTGGGCACAGGATGAACTGTCTTGGGGGGATGCTTTGGGTCAGTGAGATGTGCTCACTCACCCACAAAGCCTGACTCCTCAGCCCCACCCTGCCAGAGGGACAAACAAAGCATGTATCAGGTGTAAAAAGATTAAGCAGGGAAATTAGGCACAGAGAGGCTTCTGGGGAAGGAGTTCCTAACTGCAGTGTAGCAGAGTTGCAACAAGAGCTAGGTAAAGAGGCAGAAGGTTGGAGCAGATGTGCTCAAACTCTGCTGACTGTTGCCACTATGGAGGAAGACTTTTGTCTGGATTAAAATATAGGTAGGGCACAGCTTGCAAGAAGGGCCAAGCAGAGGTATATCTTCAGAGTGGCTTGTAGTTGATCCACTGCCTGCACTGCTTTGTGGGAGGGGTGATGGGCTACTCTCCAGGCCGGGATACTCTCTGGCCACTTGCTTCTGGGAAGATAATACAAACTATCTAAGGGTGTCACACAAAACGTGACTGAGGACTTCTGAAGACTGCCCGCACTCTGGGGGAGCAGGTGTACCCGGAAGTGGAAAATGCCAGCATATTTCCTCTCAAAGCTCTGGTTTTGTGGCACGACCGCAGACAAAATATCCTGGTGGAACGTCAGGGCTTCCAGGGCCGCCAGGAACCAGCAGTTCTCTGCGCCAAGACAAATGGACACATACAGTTGGCTGAAAAGTGAGAGTTGTCAGCCAAGTTCAGGAACATCACCAAGATCCCAGCAGAAGAGTTATTGTGCTGATGTCTTTGCGATTATAACAAATCATACACAGAAAATTAGATGATCCAGACGTGTGCTTTACTTAACCAAACCATGATTGGTTTACAATTGTTCTCTCATGATCTTTTCACTTGGATACTGTTTGGTTAAAAAATTTAGCAAGAAATAATTCTCAGTGGAAACATTCTGCTTTCTTACTGACATTGAATAGTTTTTTTCTTGTTCTCTGTAAAGGTGCACTATTTAAAAAAAAACAAAACTTTTCCATTTTTGTTTGAAAACATTAACTTTTCAGAACAGAAAGATAATTTCCAATGGATCTCACACGCAAGACTATACTTATCAGACTTCGTGTTTAAGGACTTAAAGCACTTAATTAATCTAGTTGAGCCTCTACCTGTTTTGCAGATTACAATATATCCTTTTACTTTAGGTAACATGGGCATAAAAATTATTTTTCTAACTGCAAAGCTGGGAAGAGAACACACTCATACTAAGCTTCAGGTACAAAGATAGCAAAAGTCTCAGATTTTCCTTCTTCTGTGGTCTTGGTCCAATTGTCAAGCAACATTACAGTAAGAGCACAGGATCACTTCCTATGAAGTATTAGCATGCACAGAAGCAACACAGAAAGTGGCGATTTCAGCTTGTGGAGACACCTCTCACCTCTCAAATCCCACCTTGAAGCTTGCCACGTTTTTTACTGAGAACATCCCATCTTAATGGTTGCTTCAGCCACACCATGCCAAGTAAAGAAATAAGGATATGCACACCTTCTATTTCTATGCCAAGTTTTATACAGTCAAAATTCCACACAAAATGTTATCTAGTATATGAATACTTAGATATTTATACAAAGGTCCTTCCTTACCTACCAGTCCTTGGCAGAGATCAAGCTGCTTTCTGTTTGCAGTATAAAATACTGGACTTCTGTGCAAAGCCTGGGAAGCACACAACCAAAACCAGAGAGAGTCAAGTCAGTAACATGAGCTCATTTAGCTTGAAGCCAAGGACTTCCCATGTGCAGAGCTGCAATCTCATAAGATGGGAAATCCAGTGAGTTCCTAGTCTAGGGTGTAGAAACCTCATGGATGTGACACAAAACACTCTCTCCGCCTCTTCAAAGCTTTCAAAATTCTTAGGGTCACTTTGTCCCAGCAGACATTGTTCTGGTTCAGGTATAACCCTGGTGTTATCATGTGCTTTGGCTAACCTGACGCAAGCCTGGGCACACATCTGTGCTTGGTCTACACTGAATTTGGTCTACCAACATAAGCCACTGCTGCTCAGACGCATTGCCATGGGTCTCCACGAACACCTCACTGAGAAGACAACCCTTCAGACCTGCCAGTCCTGCTTCTCTGTAATTACTGAGAAGTTTCAGCCAAAAGAGGCTACAGTGACAGAGCATAACTATTCAAACTTTCAGCTAACTTGGCTGATGTCTTCACGATTTGACTGACTATCGAGCTACAGACTAACTGATGCCTGCTACAGAAGTTCCTGTTGCTGTGACAAGAGTAGGTCTGAATAATTGTTCAGAGAGAAATTATGTTCTTGTTTTTTTTCCTCTCACAAGTGCCTCTGGGGTTAAATTAATAACATAAGTGTCAAACTTATGTTTCACTCTAATGACCTACAAATTGCTCAAGCTAATTTTCACACTGTTGGCTTCCCCTGCAGGCAGCAGCAGAGAAACAGCAAACCCTCAGAAGGCAGTTACAGTGATTAGACACCAACCCCTATCCTTGCTGAATTTGGGTGTTCAGTTTGCGGGCCATCAGTCATAGATGCAGCAAGCTACAAGCCTGCAGGCTGAATGGCAGAATCTCAGCGTTTCCTCTGCAGCACAAGGACTGAAGGATACACAGCATCCATCTTCAGAGAGCCTTTGCTGGGCATTCAGAGCAAATAGGAGCCTGTTCCATGAAGCAGTTTTAGAGCAGCAGAATGGTGGACGGAGAGACAGAGGAGGTTTCAAGCCCATTCCAACATCTCTGGGGCTTTGTAGAGGCCAGGACTCATGTTGACCTTTCCCTCACAAATACCTCTCTGCTGATACAGCTGTCTCAGCTGCAGTGACCAGCACAACCCAGCTCAGGCCCCTAAGGACTGGCACTCCTCCTCCGCCTGCAGATCCTGACTTAACACAAACCACCTGCGAGACTGAATTACATATGAACCTCTGAGAACCAGGGCTGCTATTTCCAAGCCATCCTGCTTGCTTTGCAAAGGTGCTTCTACTTCCCTGGTGATTTTCATGAGTTTTGCAGAAACTCAGCCCTTCTAAGAAATTGGTTAATTCTCACAAAATATGACACTTACAAAACAACTTAGCTAGGAGATGTTATCTGTTATTACCCGGCAGAATTCCCTTACAGAAACGGTAACATAAGGAGTCAGTGCTGCTGAAATTCTCAGACAATTCTATACATTGCTTTCAGGAAGATCTAATTGTCAATATGTTGCTCAGTGGCTCAGTAAGAACAGAACTGCCATTGCAAATAACAGGCCTTATCTAACTGTGCCAGGCCCCTGTCCTGGCCTCCTAGACTTGTTATCTATCCATTTGTTATGAGAACTTGCACTGTGACCAGCCTCCTAGACTTGTTATCTATCCATTTGTTATGAGAACTTTCACTGTGACTAGCCCTTGCAACCAGGTGTCTCTTGTTGTGATATTCAGTTTAAGCACGGGGTACCAGCAAAGGCCTTGGAAATATGGGCACAAGCAGAAAACACAGGCCTCAGAACTGAAAACAACTCACTGACTGATGGTCAGTTACTGGTCATGGTAGAAGCTCAACCTTGAGAGCTTGGAAAAGACTGCTCTAAGTACAATAGACTAAATAGTTAGGCAGGAAAAAAACAGCCCAGCAAGAGGATAAGGCACCTGCTGCCGCCTGTGAAAGCAGCAGCCTCCAGCATCACAACAGTATGTGGTCCATGGGAGAGGGGTCAAAGGCTAAGAACTGTCTAGAAACTGATACCTTCTAAAAGGTCAAGATCTTGAATTTTGGGAGAAGGATCATTGCCATGAGAACTGTCATCACGGAATCACGGTGGGATTACCAGAGCTGTGAGCTCCGAGGACACCAGCTCCTCCTACTCCCTTCACCTGCTCTCCCTGCCCGTTCCGAGCATTACTGGGTATAAATCAAATGAGGCTGGTTATGATTTTGGGCAACAAATGCTTCAAAGGCAATTATTAAACTCCACGTTCCCCAGCTTTCCAAATGACAGCTGATACAGCAAGTGTAATCTCTGGAGGCATTAAAGCACACCTAAATTAAAGACTAAGAGTAGCCTGCTCAATGCTAAAACTATTTGATGGCTATCAGCTGTAATCATCCTCTTACACTACAGTATTCACTGAAAGTCACTTACATGTGGCCTCTTCCACTGTAAATTCTGGGGTAGTTTCTTCAGCAGTGCTCCTGTTCCAATAGAGCTGATGTGAGCAGGGAAGCTGTCATCTGTGAACAGACATTTGTTCTTCAAGCACGTCTCCAGCAAGGCCTGGTAGTTCTGCTGGATGGGTGCGGTGTGTTTTTGAAAGATACTCCTGGGTAAAGGCACAGGTGACTTCTTTTTTTTTAAGCATGGTAGAAAAGGCATGGCGATGTCCACAGTAATGCCAGGATAATTTTTTCCACTGAGGATTCTGCAGGGATCTTGCCCTGCACAGTCCTGCTGGTAATTCCTTGTTTCTTGGGATGAGGTGTGTCTTCTCCAGAAGAATTCCTGATCATTAAAATAAGTGTAAAAAGTCAATTTAACCATGGTTTTTAAAATTTTCTCTTTAGCTAGCGGGGGGTGGGGTGGGGTGTGTGTGGCACTCCCAGGAGAAGTGGGTGACCCATCCAATTCTAATCTAGAACATATCACTGCATTTTCAAGGCTTTGAAGCCACAGATACGGCTGTTCTCAGTCTCCCTCTAGACTATTTAGGCTTTCCAGGATATTTTCATAACATGCTGAAACATGAATGTCAGTCTTTATTCAATCACATTCTGGCATGTGGACATCTCCCTTCCCAAAAAAAAAAAGAAAAATAGCAAGATAAAGAAAAATGGAATACATTAGGTGTTACAAAGCCATCATTCACAACCCCCCAATGGTTATTTTGCACTTTTTGCCTCATTTTGGAGAACGTTACAATCTCCCCCAAGAGATCACATTCCATCTTGCTGATTACCACAGATCCACACATGAAATCTCATGCTGAGATATTTTTTCTTCTTCTAACATTCAAGACAGATGTTTCTCATCCCCAGCACTGAAAACAGCAAAGAGAGATTTCATAGCCCTTTTTTTTTAATATTAGCAACTATGCTAAACATTAGCAGCCATCACCTTTTGCTGCAAGAGGTGGGCTGCTGGGAGAAATCATTATTAAAATCTCAGCAGCCAAATCACACCCACCAGTGGTAACAAGGTGACCATAATCATAGCCATCTCATCACAGTGTGGACTGAAAAAATGGAACAGGATACATAGTTCAATAAATAAATCTCATGCCATAATGATACAGCATTTGGAAGGCTTCCCTGCAGAGGAGGCTCTATGAAACAAAAAGTCTCTGCCCCAGGCACCCTAGGAAACTGGTCTCAGTTAGGAACCAGTTGATTGTCACTGCATCGAAGCTGAAGGTCACTGGTGTTCCCTGTGAGAAACCATACAACTGCAGATTGTGCTGTCCTCCCACACAGAGCCCTCATTTGTTATAAAACCACTCTACTGATCCACAAGGCTTGATCCTCAAGGGCAACTAAGAGAAAACCTTAAAAATATAACCCTGGAAACTAAAATTCAATTTTCTATTGTACAGTAGACTTCAGACCTGAAAAAGGTTTTAAGTGCCTAACAACTTGCCTACTTTTTCTCCAGGTGAAAAATCTCTCCCTGCAAACCTTACCTTTTTACAGCCATTGACCTTCACGGCTAAAACAACACGAGGAACGGACAGAGAGATAGATTTAAGGGAAAAACAAGAGGAAGAAAACAGCCTGGAGACTGGCTGCACTTTATATAGACAGACAAAACACGTATGAAGAAGAATTTCTCATTTTGCTGCTCCCCAGGAAAAGAAGTGGTGAGCAACCGACATACTTTGAGCTACGTTGAAGAGCAAATACTTCAGACTTGATTTTTGGGTGTGCAGAGCATCCACAATGCCTGATAAAATCATTGTAACCTTTCACCAGTTCTCACCTCAGTCTGGCATTTATTTGAAAAAGAACTAAACTTCAGAGACAGGCCTTGAAACCCAAAGATAGTATGAAAAAAAATGCTCTCAAAAATGGAGGTTTAAATCACCTGAATACGTAGCCTTACTTTCCAGCAACTCAGCCAGCAGCCCCAACTGTAACAGTGTGTGTTGAGAGTCAATGATGCAGCTACTTCATGTGTTTTGAAAACCTCCCATCTGAACCTGCCTGTAGGTGTATTGTTTTAAACTCTTTTCCAAATTACCTGGATATCTTTGAACAAAAGATGTGATAAAGCATTTTATGTGTCATGAACAGTCACTGCTTAGACAGCTACAAGGTGTTTCACCTCATGTTTTAACCTCCTGCTTGCTGCCTGGCTGCAGTCATGTGTACAAGCAGGTGCCAGACACAGCTGTATATGTCTAGCCAAGGTATACCTGGAAATCACTTGTACTCCACTCAGCAATGTTACTGAACAAGACTGAATCGGAGTGTCCCACCACGTCCTCCAGCACAGGTGGAGCAGTGTGTGCACATCTCTTCCAGCAATTAAAATTGCTAAGGGAAAGCAGCCAACTGTAGCAGACAGAGGTTAAAAGCTTTAGACTGAAGCTGTGAACAAGTAGGTTGGATGGGTTTGATTCTCTATTCTTTGCACGTTCCCCTGGTTAGTGTGTTTACCATCTGATGTAAGTCCTTCCACTGCATTAGCATCCTGTGATCTCCCCTGATCTTTCTCAACATCTTTGATGCCTCATCCTTAAGTCTTAAAATGAGAATCTGAAGAATCCACAGAAAATCCTTCACTTTTAGTATAAGTAATTGGACCACGAATTAATTCTCCGAGAGCCTCTTACTCTCTCTGCAAGAGGATTTATCTCAGGCAACGCTTGGGGCAGTGGGCAATTTGAGAGCTAAACCTGGAGCTCAGCCCAGCTCCTCTGATTTAACAAAGACAATCCGTATCTGGGCTGAGGAGTGGCTCCTGATCATGTGGAACAGAGCAAATGTTTGCATGCAAAATAATAAATTTTAGGGTGAGCAGAACAAATGATGCAGGACCATCTTTTACAACCATTCTTGTAATACAGCAGAACATTTGCTACAGAAATTAGCAGTCATTAGTCAAAATGGAAATAGGCCTGTATTAGGCTTTGTTAATCTTTATTAGTCTCTAAACACACAGTATGAAAACAGCACTTGCAGGTACAACCTCAAGTCTTTGATTAAACATAGTTGTGTATTTCAGAAATAAAAAACGAAAGCTGACTCCCACTCTTCCTGTGGGCTTTTTAGCAAATAGAAATATCCTGAAAAGAAGCATTGAACTGTGTTTTCTCACAAAATGAATGAATGTACAGGCAGGTGGACGACCTTGCCCTGAATTTCCTGTGCTTAGATTATTGGCCTAAAAATTGATGGCCACCTGGTGCTGAGATTTTCAAGGCCAAGCAGTGAACTTGCCCCAGAGTCTCCCACTGATGTTAATAAAAAGCAAAAATACTGGGATGGCTTTCAGAACTTCAAAAAATACCTCTCGGAGCAAAGATTCACTTTTCCAAGATAGTGGTTGAAAATTTAAAATACATACTCTTTGATGAGTAAATTGTCCAAGCTACATCAAAATCAGTGGAAATATGAAAATCCCATTTACTCAAGATCTGTCCTTTAGCATTTAAGTTTACAACATCGTATTCATTATCATCATCCTAATCATTAGAGATTCTGACTGCCCACAACTCCTGTTAAAGTCAGATGAAACATTTGATGTCTGCAGAATCCTTTGTGATCAAGTGTCAGCTAAACCACCCCTAAACAGCAAAACTGAGAGAATAAGGGTGCACAAAATCTGGGTTAACTAAAACACCAGCCTGTGTTCCCCACCATTTGGCAGGCAGAAGCTTTGGAGCTGTGACATGCAGGGCAGCTGACGCGGCTCATCTAGTTGCTTTACTTCACACCCATTCTCCTCATGTTTGCTGATAGGAACTTTTCCCCTTCCCCTTCAACACTTCCAGAGAAAAGTTCAGCAGCAGCTGCAGCATTCAGCATGCCCAGCAGCATCATGTAACTAATACATCTATTTGATCCTAGAGGACAGCTTCGTCTCAACACCATGCTGTGGTGACAGAGTCGCACTCCTTTCAAACCCCTGGAAAATCCTAACTCTGTGCTAGCCACAGATGACTGCTGAATGCCAGCACCAAGTCCCTCTACACAGCATTTGGCACCTGATGTCCTACCTTCTCCGGGGGTGTCCTCAGAGCGAAGGATAATTGTTCCACTGGCAGTGATGCCTGCTGCTTATAAGTAGCGTATATGTTATCTCTACCTATATGTGTATTGACGTGCGTGCTTGTATATATACGTCTTGCCTACATAACCCCGAGAGCTAGTCCTGACCTATCAAGCACTGGGGTAGACACAGGAGGCGGGGAAAAAAACCATATTGAGTAATGCCAGAAAAATTCTGAAAAGCCCAATGCAAAATATTCCACAGAAGACATGAAAGAACAGGTCAGCCCATCATACAGACTACCGTTTGACTCACCCATCGCTTCGGTGGACAGCAGCTTCCTTGTTTAGTTAGCCATTTGATTATTCAAAGCACAGAACTCTGTGTCTCCATATATAACCAACAGGGTAGAACATGAAGATGTGTTCATCTGTGCCTTAATGCATTTTAACATGATTTCTGCTTTCAGGTAAGAAAAAGTTCAGAAAGGAAATACCCTCAAAATCCCCACATCTTCTCAGAACAGATGGGGCCATGACAGTCTCTCCACTTTGACAATCACTAAATCATAACAATTTCTAAAAAGAACATTTATTTAAGTTTGAGGGAAGTACACGTCCTATGACAGACAGTAAAAACCATCCAAGAGTTATAGAAGAAACCTCCATCCTTTGCAAGGATGGCAAAGAGCTCAGAGGATTTTTCTTTCCAGCACTATCACAGCCATCACATGGGTCAGGTACCCTACGTGTAATACAACATGCTTTCTTTGCCATACAAATTTAAGGAGTGAACTCTGGAGGCAAGCACGCTTCCCACTCACTGTATATACATTATCCAACCGCACATTCTCCATTTCTGGTGGCACTTCTGGGTTACAGCACCTTGTTCCACCCCAGGCAATGAGGAGGTAAGAGCTGCGTGGAGAGGGTAGAGAAAAGGATGGTGTGTGCATACCAAGCCACCTGAGAACAATGGTAGGAGAAACATAATGGGAAATATTTCAGAGGAATATGAAGGAGCAGTGAGGGCAGGAAAGGAAGGCAGCAGCTTGCTGAGTTGTAAAGGCAAAGCAATGAGTGAGGAAAGGGCTAGACTACGCTGGAGATGATTTTATTCCTAGGCCACATGGCAACAGCAGGTGGTCGAGAAGTTTGATCTAGCTGAAT